CTCCCTGCAGGCAGGCAATGCAGCATTGGCGAAGTTCAGCCAGTCAGTCATTGTAGCAGAGCAACCGCTCAACCAGGTAGTTGGGCTTGTGTTGGTGAAATTGGTCGTGTTGTTAGAAAGGGTGTTATAAGAAAAATTCAGGGCGCCTGTTGCTAAAGCCGTATTAGCGATGGTCATTGTATCCTGTACAAACAGGCCAAAGGTTGGCCAGCCGGTGATCACAGAGTTATAAACACTGTGGGCAGAATTTCTGCGGATGTGTGCACCTGCTCTGAAGTTTGCAGGGATGGTAGCAGTAGGGTTACAGAACTTAGGGCCAAACAAAGAGTAGTTACTGAATACAGGACGGGTCTTAGGTGTGCCCAGGAACAAGGTTGCATCCGGATTGTTATCAGACTCGATACCATTAGAACCGGAGATATCATTTTGAGTTAAGTCTTTGCGCAATGAAAAACCAAACTGAGACTTACCGTTGAATCCGAAATCGGTATCGAAGTCATCATCCTTGGTATTGTAAGCGATCAGGTATTTGGTATTCACACAACCACCAAACCATTCGAAGGCATCATCGTTGGCATAAGTTACCTGGATGTGGTCAATGGTAGTAGCGTTGCCCACAGCACATAAAGTAAGGCTGTTAATCTCGTTACCGCCACCTGGTACAGAGCTGGCATCAACACCCGCATAGTGGATCTGTACATAACGGAAAATACCGGAGTTGTCAGCGCAATCAGTACCACCAGCAATAACCGGCGTACATGGGCCCTCTACTGTAAAGGTGCCACCAGGGCGGTTGTTAGGGCCTTTACCGGCGATGATAATGCCACCCCAATCACCAGGCGCACGGCGGCCGGCAGGACGGAGTGAAGTAAAAACAATCGGGTTAGGAGAGCCAACATTACCAGGATAACCATCCGCAATGATCTTGCCACCACGCTCAATAATCAATGCACCTTCTGCGCCGACAAGTGTATCGCCGTAAATAACGGTGCCTGGATTAATGGTCAGGGTAACGCCACTCGGTACATACACACATCCTCTCAGAATGTAGCATGGAGCACTAAGCGTTTGGGTAGATAAAACACCAGACAGGTCTATCTGGGCACTGACGCTGG